ACCAATTAAAATCATAAAACTCAAAATTTTTCTTATGCCTGGTGCACTTAAGCACAGGAAATTAAATTCATATATTTCCCTGACAATGTTTCTTAACTTCTTCATGCAATAGAAGAAGTTCATACTGATTTCAACTTATTAGTGATAAGTCACAAAAAATATATGCATCCAGAACGAAAAGAACTACTATCATGAAATTTAACATGTATGTAGTGTATGAGGAGATAAACAAATGATTACAAACTCAGAACAGAAGACCGTTTTGTTAAGAAGTTATGGCATGAAAAAGGTTACAAAACAATTAGGTTACAATAATTAGCAGTATAGCCAACTCTGATACTTATGCAAGCCGAAACACGGCGTGGCATCGAATCAAGTAGGTCACCTATGTCCCCTGCGGAATATCATGACATAATCTTTGCAAATGGGCAGTTAATTCACGAATTTCCCGGGACGGCTGCAGTTGCCAAGCATGTTCCGAATGTGCCTTATGGGCGAGAGGTCTGGTGACGTGGCAGGCCACGGGAGTAAGTTATATCCTTGAAGACATTGTTGGAAGAGTAGCTCAGTATGTGGACGAGCGTTGTCTTGCTGATAAATGGCACCTGGTCGATTTGATAGCATAGGTAGTACAAACGGCATTAAAATGTCATCCACGTAACTGCGAGCCATATAGTGCCTTGAAGGACGACTACAGGTGATCGCCCCAAAAAATCGTTCCCCAGACTATCACATAGTGTAATCGCCGTATGCGGCCAGACAAAACTGCCGGATCAGACCGTTGGCCTGGCCGTCTCCACACGTTTCTGCATTGGTCATCAGCATTGAGACTGAATTGGGACTCATCGCTGAAAATCGCACGCCTCCAGTCGGTAACTGAAATTTCACTGAACGATCACTGAAACTGTATTTCCCTGAAAGTGTTTTTAAATAGCTTAAAATAATTTAGGCAATTCAGAAATACTCTACACAAAAATTTATCGTATTGTTTGTCATGAAAACGCTAACGTATATTATTATTTTGAAACAGACAGCATCAAAATCTAGGATATTTAACAATCGTTAAGCTGTTATCACACATCTATTTCTTTCGGATGAAAAACAGTTTCAAACAATTTTTCTACCTGCTTTTCGACCAATGAAAGAAAGATGCAGATATTTCCCATTCATTCTAAAAAAACTGTAAGGTATTCGTTTTCAACAGTCAATCAGCTATCAGCGTCAAATCCCCCATCATTTGTAATCTAGAATTTAACTATTTATCCACTTACGTGATAATCTAACTATTTATCCATTTACGTGATAATCCAAAAGTGATCCGTTTTGATTGTCTGTTTTATATTATGTGTTTAAGCTGAAAAATTTTACTGAACAGTTGTTCTTCTAAAATGTTCTGAATGCGTGATACGACCAGAAAATGAACGACACTTTCAAAAATGCCTAGATGAGCAATCTCAACCCCTCACAAACACTTAAAATGTAATAACAATTTTCCAATTTGTTTTTAATGTCCCTCTTAAGCGAATCAATGATTTCCACAACGAAAATAAATTCAGACTGAGCAGCATAGGTTGGATTTATCTTGAAAGTTATTTCGGCAATGGTCTGCAAAGAGCACGTCTTCACAAACTTTAAAGTGCTCCATGTAGAGACAGAATATGTTTGGTGTGTATGAATACATTATTTTCATGACAGTAATATTATTGACAGCGAGAAGATCAAAGGTGCCCAGTTAAATATGCAATCAACTGGAAAATGTAAGCAATTTCTATTTAATGTTAAAAAATTAGTACAGAAAATAACTGCTAGTAAACTTTTCAAAATTAAATTATTTGGTAATTGTCTTCAAGTTACTATTCTGATATAAGAAATCAAACTAAGTGAACGAGAATAACATTGATTGGATGTCATGAGTGACTGACTGTTTTCCTCTCAAACTGACATTTTAACACTTTCAGAATTTTTTAACTGGTTAATCATGCGGTTTGAGATGGAAATCATAATTGCATTAAAGCATTGTACCTATCTGCCTAGATAAATATGTCTTTGCAAAGGATTATTTAAAGATAATGAAACAGTATTTAATTTATGCCTAAGGAAAGAAAATGTAAGTATGGCTGTCCTACTGTGACACCAGCTACCAAGTCCCGAACAAAATTGTTAATATTCTGATGTTTATAAGAACCAAAACCACTGGAAGCAGTTTCGTCGGAGTTGAAATTAGATGAAATTTCTTGGAATTAGTTAAGTAAAAGTAAAACCATTCATTATTCAATTTGTATCTGCTCTTTGAAACTGTTTTATTAGTTTTTATTTATCTATTCACATTTTGATCTTAAGTATAGAACTGATTACAGCATGATAAACACGTTTTAATCATACAGCAGCTACTATAAGCAATTAGAATTATGTTTTTACAGTACTCTCCGATTTATAGTATTTAGCATTTTTTACAAAATTTTATTTAAAAAACTTTAGTTAAATGTTAATATTTAATCTGTACATATCTACTAATCAAATATAATAACATGCAACACTTGTCAAAGTACTATATATTGTAATATTCTTATTACTAGTCAACAATTCACATTTTCACTAAAAAGTACACGGATACCACATTTCCAATTATCTCTAACATTTGCTACAATGTTTTGCTTGGATGCTTGAAAACATTTGTTGAATATCATTCATGGCATCTAATTTTAAAATATTTAATTCTAGTAAAAGTTCTCTATTGATTGATTTGGAAAATTCCTTTCACAAATTTTGAAATTTTCTGATCACTATTGGAAGTTGGAAAATGACTGCTGCGATTGTGTTTGAAGACAATGATATATTAGAAAAGCACGTGGTATTAGGGGGTTAATAATGAGAAATAAATTCAACAAATCCGAAAGTGCTGGAGTTTCCTTCCCAGCGAAGCACAGCAACGAAACAGATAACGTCATGCCCTTCGATTTCCAACCAAAGTTACAGCTTGAAATTCTGCAATAATTTAGGTCACAATATAATTAGGTCAATTGTTAAGCAAAGATATGAGTCAAAACCATAAAAAGGTTAAATTATATAATAGAAAATGTTGGCTATTCCTGAAAGTAAAAATTGCGTCGAGATATACATGAAATCCCTCTATTTAAGCTGTACACCAGTTTTGTTGCTCTCAGACTTCCCAAGCGTGTATTATATATGCATGCAACCCCCCACCGCACACAATTTTTTTATAGATATATAGAGTTAGACGCTGAATTGGTTTGAATTTGTGCCAAATGTAATAAACAAAAAGTGTGTGTGTGTTACAACATCCGCTTCCATTCTTACACGCAGAAGCTTATGAAGAATTCAGATGGTTTGGGAAATGTTAATCTTATAAGAACATATAGGACTAAAGGATTTTGAAACATATCCCTCGGCTGTTCAGTTTGTTCTTCGTATGCTACATTTATAAGCGTGCAAATAGAGAACCATCTGCAGAACATGCTGCCCAGTACAGACTGTATGGGAAAGGCGTAAGTTTGCTGAAGTAACGCATTTTCTTAGCTCATGCAAAGATACATATATATATATATATATATATAAGGGCGCTTAATGATGGCGCTGATGTACATGTGATTTTCATATAAATGCTTGAAGCAGCTATACAATCGCTAGACTTAATATGCATTAATCAGCGCAAGAAAACCTATTATAGGTGACAAGCCTTGCAAGGTAGAATCACGTTCAGGTTAAATTTTTAATCTCATCATTTATTCGGCTATGTAAACGGTCATGAGATTTTATACCTGGGAACATTTGAATCAATTCGTTGAGTATTGTTGTGGAAGCTTCTTTCCTTTAGTAAATATTTTGATGTCACCATTTTAATTGGTTTTATAGCTTGAAGATTCCAATGGTAATGTTGCGAACTGAAGCTAGGGTAGAAAGACGTCACCCTCTAAATAACGTATGACAGTCAGAAGTAGTCTTGAGTTTAGTCTGTGATGGAACGTCTTGCTCTTTGTATGTGTTTCTGTTTCTTCAATAAAATTTTGCATCTTGGTCTTTGTATGTGTTTCTCTTTCTTCAATAAAGTTTTGCATGTTTTTTGTGAATGACTTTTGTCTTTCTCGGTTGGATCCGAATCCAGAGGCTCGGGGGGAACGTTCATTCTTCCTCTAAGATGTAATTTCCGAATTCATTCATGTTTACTTTTCGATTTGTTGGAACTCTAGTCTATCTTTCAGAGACAAATCCGTTGCTTAAAATGACCCGCATTATACGTGCATTCATCTTGCATCTTATTTGCATCGAAGCATTCTTCTGACTTCTGTCGTATCCTAGATCCTTCGTCGACAACACTTGTATAATCTGACACAAGACATCGCATGGGCCGCACTGTGTTCCTTAATTTTGGTCAGCTGAGTATTAAATTTACATTTGCATGTCCTTAGAATAAAATTCCACCTATTGTTGAGCTGTTAAAGATTGTTCAATATTGGCAGTTCAGACTGCATCCATATCTAGAGGAACTGGCTTGCTGCATGGTTAATTTTTGTGGTTTTCACCGTATAATGCGAATACGAGCTAGTTTCCGACTAGAAATTCTTCCACGGAGGGATCCCTCAAGTAGAAAGCTGTCATACACTTTGCCATATTGAAGACACTAACTTAAGAAAAAATGCGATATGATTATGCTCTAAAAGCAACTACTGAAATTGCAAAATATTTTGCATGCTTAAATGCTATAATAATCTAAACTGCATCACATGTTGCAACGCCTTCGGGCATAAATTTATCTAAAATATTATGATTATGATGTTTGGTAATCTAGTGATTATGCCGCAATAAAATCTTGTATATAAAATCGCGTTCTTTTTTAGTTTTCTTTTCCGACAATGTAAAATCTGTTAACATGCAAAATAAAAACGCATTTTAAAATTACATATTTATTCAAAAGTTCTGAAAATCTGAAGGTATGATAAAAAATAAAATTTGAATTTCGTTTCTCGATCTTTTTTTTCCAGGGGATATATGCCCCCAACCTGCTCAGCTCAACGGATCCATGATGGAGCCATGTCTTATGCTTGATGGCTATGATTATTTCCACGGAAACGAAGTGGCGTACATCTATTCTTGTATTATCCTAGCTTTTATCCCCATCGGTAAGATAAAGAATAATTCATTATTATTTTTAAGTTATATCAGTTAATTATTTTAAATTATAAAACCATCATTCGATAAAAACGGAATTTTGTATTCGGGGTCCATCAACGGCTGAGAAGATAATGAGCTGAATATTGGTAGTTTGACCTTTGTTAAAATCTCTCCGAACAGACTAACTACATAATTACATGCGCTTTTTCGGGGAGTTTTCAATGTGTAATGTGCATACGAGATATCTGTCCTTCGAAGGTGGTCCACGATGGTCACTCTTTCTTTAGGCATATATATTCCTTTACCGTTATCTAATAAATTCAATAATCCATAGCTGACTGGATATTGAGAATCTAGTTCTATCTTTCTAAAGTTGTTATTACTCAATACGCGGACATCTAGTCCTTTTAAACAAGCTGGTTTGAAGAATTATTTTCAGCAATTTAGGCAGAAAGTAGCAATTCAGACTGAGAGACTTCAATGTTTTCCATCAGTATTGGCAACCTCTCAGAAAACTGTTAAAATTCTCATCGTCTTCTCTCGTGAATACTGTTGCAAGAAATTTACTGTTTATATATTTCAGTGTGCATTTAAGGTTTATGTAAATTAATACTTTGTTTATGCTTCCGTCATAACGAGAACATAGATATTCTTCTGCTTTAGAATTAATTCCATAAAAGCCACAATATTCAACATTTCCTTTCTGTTGATATGAGATAATATCCAAAGCGTCTGCGAAATCGAACCTTGGAAGAAAATTTGTATTTGTATATGTTTAAACATTTTAGATACAGGTTAATTAATAAAGGCGGTGAATGGTTTCTATGTTATAGAAAATGAGGATGTACCAGAAAGAACGTATTTTGCATTAGACCTAATTAAAGTGTGGAGCTAAACTTCTAGAGTAAGTAATTGCACATCCTACAAAAAGCTTCCGAAGTGCTAAGGGCTGATAAATCTCATAATCATGCTCCTACTAAAGAATACTGTTATTTCATGTGTATTGTTAGAATTTAGTTAGAATTTAGTCATTAGGATTTAATATGCAATTCTTTAAATCAGACGCTGAAGATCTACCTATTGGAAAAGCTTTACCAAGGCGGAATGCTTTGAAACAATAAGCATTTTATACAATGAATAAAAAAACAATATGAAAGCTTTTAGATTTTGTGTTACACCTAATTCGACTTTTTTTTTTCTCATTTACATACCCATATATACACATACACATTTCCAGAGCGTTTGGGATAAAAATATTAAAAAAAAAATCTTAAAAATTTCCGATAGACAGTCTCGCGTACTGGAAATAAAAATGTTTTCTTTCGCACACTGTTGCCATTGTTCGCTTTGAGATCGTTACGTTTGTTAATCAAAAACTCATTAAAAGTTTACAAAATATGAAATAGACAATAAAAAAAATTCCAAATTCGGGCTTCCAGATGCCCACATTCAGATGGAGGACTATGTTATTCAGAATTTGATGGCTCCAGGTATCATTGTTTTTTCACAGTACGAGAAATATACATACATTTATGCAGATTCTTTAGTTTTAATTCCTTTAAATATAAATACAGGGCGACAGTAGTTGGTGACAACAATTTGAAAAGTAAAGCGGACATTTACAGTGAACCGATGCAAAATGCCGTTTCATGAATAATAGCCCTTCTGGGCTAACGCTCCCTGGATTAATAACTCAGTTTGGAACTGATTTAAGTATAGAAATACTTTTTTATAAACTTCAAGGGTCATCAAATAAGATTTTTTTAATGTAAAGTAATACCGGCAATAAGATTACTGTGGACAATTTTTTATAATAATAATTTTTGAAAAGAAGTAGATGTGATTGATTTTGGAAAAGAAATGGAGTATCATGCATTATGCGCGTCTGGTTATTAATTAGCTGCGGGTACCAACTCACTATTATCAGTTTTGTTTAGCCTGAATTCTACATGATTTACGCATTAAAAATAAATAACTAAATAAATAAATAATCAAACAGAACAGAAAGTGCATGAAGTTTCTGTGCGTAAAAATTCTGTGCAGTCGGCGATGTTAATTTTAAAGTTAAGAAAAGAAAGGAGAAACTTCCAAAGTAGGCGTTCCGATATGTACTTAAATACTTAAGTACTTTTTTTTTAACAACCTTTTTCTCCTATATTTCTTATTGTAGGACTGTACGAAAGCTCCCTTGCATATTCTTAGATGTGGTGGAAGATAAGTATACTATCTTTTCGAATGACTGGTATCATCCTTTGGCCGCGAACCTGCATCTAAGATTCACTACAATATCTATGCATTTAATATTCGGCATACAGAGACGTTTTATGAGTTGTATGTTTCGGGAATTAAACTACCTTTGCAGCATTGCAATAAGTTAGTGCGGCGAACATATTGAGCTTAGAGGGAATATTGTACTCTAGGATTAAAATGTTTTATTTTTTGTTAACTTCCTGATAAACTACTTCTATTCTTTCTTTTGTTTTATATTAATTAATGTACTGCGATAACACACGACGAAGGTTAATGAACTTTTATTACCATTTGTTTACCAGACCTTCAAAAAAAATCTTGTTATTAGATCTAAATTCTACACACCTTAATCATGTTTTGCAATAGCATCTGAAGCTTCACCTAAAATGTACTTTAGAGATCTCTAAAATCCTATTATCTACGACAGATCATTATTTATCTTATTAGGATATTTTTAAATGCTTAACAGTGAGTTAGATTTCTATCTTACATGAACGAGTTCCTCAGCCAAATTATTTAAAATTTGATGAGAGGCCTTTAAAATTCTGAATGAGAGGAAGGTATTAAATTTCTAGCTCGAATACTCGCAAATTTATGCACATTTTCCCAAAACCTTTCTTTGTTCCTGAATTTAGATAAACATTCAGATAACAATACTGAAGCTCAAACGATCATTTCTTAGTTGAAAGGTGCTATTGCAAATTATAGTACACTCCTTTCGTAGATCAGATAATGCTCCGTTATAAATGGATTCTTTTTCCACCTATGAACTTCAGATCTGATTGAAAGTAGCTGTAATCAATTATTCTATTATTTTCATAGTTGCTGATAAAAGTTTTTTTAATCTTTCATTACCTATTCATTATGAAATAAATGCTTTGAGTGACTTTTCTCTTTATTTTAGCTTTTAAGATTACAAATCGAAGAGCACCTTTTCGAGTTTATTTCTTTTCTTATTACTTGTTAATATTTTCCAAACAGATTGTCCAGATAGTTTGTCTTTGATGAGGTTTGATTTAAGTTCAATAACTCTCTTTTTGTTTCAGAATAGTTTTAGTGGGTTGTATGGAGACAACCAAAATGGAGACGAAGCATGTGGGTCTAACTCCCTTTGCATGTAATCTCAATTCTTTCACTTCGTAACTCTGTATAAAACTCATCCTTCACTCTGATTAATGTGGTGAAGAGAAAAAATTCCATACCTTGCTTTTAATCCTTGCTATATTATTCAGCTACATTAATATCTGAGGGGAGGAAACTATCATAAAAGTAAGAACTTTTTTTCTGAAAGTAAGTCGCCATTTAGAAGTGCTGTAGGTGTTACACCATCAGTAGAGTTCAACGCAGGAATAATTTTTCACAGATACCCTTTTTTAACTGACTAGTTTCCTTACTGTCTTTAAAAATTTTCTCAAAATATGGTACCAAAATATGAGTAAATTTAAAACGTTGGCGCCAAATTAAGGCTGTTATGGGATTTTATACAATTAATGGAATCTTTTAAACTGAATGCAGTTTAAAATAGTTGATTATTGCAGCACTGGAAAAAATTACTGATACTTCTGGAAATTTTTAGGTTTTTAGTTTTACACACTTACAGGATATCTTCAATATTGCGGGGAAGCTAATCTTTCTGTATTTTTCCTTATATTTATATCACATAACCTTTTAAAAAATGGGGATTTAAAAATTGGACATGATTGTTTTTGAACTGTTTTGATTCAGGGTTATACTTCCTTATCTTTTCTGTTTAATGAAATTCAGTTAAGCGGAGCTTTACCGTGCTTACACTGGTGTGCAAAAATTAAGGACGAAGTCGAAAAATTAGCATATCAGCTGAACGAATGGGCAAAGCGGACAGAAAGACCAATCAGGAGATTAAGTAAGGTAATGTACGGTAGCACATGCGCAGATATGCAGGTAGACGTAATGGGGGAGTTTCTGAGTAGTATAAAGCATGTTGTCGGTGTAAGATCAGTATTTCTGGCAAAGAGATTGCACGCCGTATAGAAGTTAAAATCACACCGAGTTGCTGCCTCAGCGAGAAATGACGAATAATCAATCTGTTAGACGACATCTGGATGCTTTTACCCGAGGTCGAATCATTGGGAAATTGGAGGAAGGCCGCAGTGTCACAAGTGTGGCTGCAGAGTTCGGAATTGCTCATAGCATCATTTCACGACTTTGGAGACGATTTCAAACTACAGGAACAGCTATAACAGCTATCCGGGGGTTTAGTAGTGGTCGTCCACGAGGAACCACACCCACAGATGACCGGTATATTGCCCTACAGGCCAGAAGAAGCAGGCGGCAGACAGCGGGAGAAATCACTAGACACAAGACACAGGCGACTGAACGACCGATATCGCGTTTTACCGTGGCCAGAAGACTGCACGGTGGTGGTTTGTTTGCACGACGCCCTGTACGGTGTGTACCTCTAACGCCTGGCCATCGGAGAAAGCGTTCTCTGTGGTTCTCTGTGCGAACAGCTCTTAGAGAGTGAGGATATTGAACGTATAGATCGGCCGGCACGATCTCCGGATCTCAATCCCATCGAGCATGTATGGGATTTTCTAGGCAGACGCTTGGCAGCTCGTACCTTGCCACCAGTAACGATTCCGGAGCTTCGATTGGCGCTGCAAGACGAATGGGCAGCAGTGCCTCAACAACTCATTGACACCCTCATTCTCAGCATGGACAGATGCTGTGAAACCTGCCTAGCAGTCAGGGAAGATCAGATACCCTATTAAAGACCGGATGTTTCTTGCTGGACACCCATCAGAGGGATGTTTCGGCCTTCAGTTGCATTGCGCTCTCCATGCTACTTTTTCAATAAAGCTTCTTTTTATCCCTCTGATTTCTCTTTTAGTAAGTGTTGCTTACATTACTCATGTCCTTACATATTGGGGATCTTACGGTATTAAATGTGTTGATTTGGAAAGCTTTTGTACAAAGTTATATTGAAAAAACCGTCTCGCCCTTAATTTTTGCACACCAGTGTATATTTGTGTACAAGATTTATATATATAGAAATTTTGTGACTTATATTAATTATTACTATTAAAAATTATTTATAATTTAAATTTAATATAATTTTTATATATCATTTTTATATAATTAAAATTATAATATAAAATTAATTATTAAAAACTATTTAAATTTTCAGTGTGCGCTGGTATGGGCTATGGTGTTATAAAACTTCAGAATAAACGTCGCCGAGAAATAAAACTGAAGAAAGATGCGAATACAGACAAAAACTTTGATAAACTGTGTAAGTATATTAATTTCCCTATTTTTAAAAACTTATGTACTTTATCTGGTTAAAAGTATTTTTGTTTAATATTAATTAGGACAATTGATATTGCGTTAATAACTATACTGAAGGCTCGCCAAATACTTTCAACATTAATTCAGTTCTTACCATAAGAATTTATAGGAGGAATTTCTTGGGCTATGAATTGCTGAATATTCTTTTATAGTAATGGAATATGTTAATTTGATAATAAATAAATGTAAGTAGCCTTGAATACATTAGTTAGTTAGTTAGCATTCTGTTGATACTTCATAGCTATTGATAAACTTCGGTATCCTTTTCTCATCTGTAACTAACAGCATGTACGATTAAAATCGCAATAAAATATATGTACGCTAAATACAAGGTTATTATTGCGATTTTAATTGTCACATTGGCGTGTTTCTCTTCTATTCTAGCATGTACGATATTTAGAAAACGATAGCTTGATAATCAGGTATGTAATTTAAATAACTTGTTTTATAACTATTAAAATAAAATAACGAAGAATGAAAAAATATAATAGAAAAGTGTAATCGAAAGGTATAGCTCAATATTACTTAAAATTAATATTGATATCAGACAGATAGCCCTCCTCGAGTTGCTTTGCCTTAATCAGTTAACTGAAACCCAACCTAAAAAAGATTAATATCATAAGATAGAATAATACAGTTGTCCTTTTAATAGAATTTGTATAAACTTATGAAAGCCACACGAGGTTTTCCACAGATATGGCAATATTCTGGGTATAGAGTCCAGAATTGTTCTTACCGAGTCGTTTTGTGCTGTCGTCGTAGCATTTTTTGTGAAGTTTTTTTAGTGTTCAGACACACTTTAATTTTTGTAATTTATTACATTTATTTGTATTTGAACTAATTAGAGTCGCTTCATCTTGGCAGTTTTTCAAAAGAGTAGGAAATTTCTCTGAAAGTAATCTAAATGGTATAAAATGGCATCGTTTTCTTGATATAAACGGAAATATAAAATAGCACGGGGCTTTTAAAATATTAAGTTTAACACATTAAGCAACGATTGCTCCCCCTTCCAGTCTAATAAAGAATTTATTTATAGAAAATTTTAGTAATACAAATAAAGCGTATAAAAATTGTGCAGACAGAAGCATGTATTTCGATATTTATTTAAACTTACGTACACGTCAAGGCTATGACCTAGGGTCTACATTGTTATGTCGTTGAGTAGAAACGACGGAATAAAGCATTATATATTTAACCCTAATCAAAGAAAAATTTGAGAAACTGCCATTATAGAGAAAGAAAAGTTTATTCAGTCAATAAATCTAAAAGTAAAAGAAAAGTTTAAAAAACAAAGGCTGAAACGTATAAAATTATAGGAAATGAGATCTACAAAATCAAAGAAATCATAAACGCTTTTTGTATATAAATATTATTTCTGAGCGAAAACCTGCATCTTACAGCATTTGTGTTTTACTCATTCCTTTATCTTCAGATTTATGTAAAATATATCTAAGACATAATATATTTATAAGTTTAAATCCAAATTTCTTTAAATCTACTGAAAAGTGAATTAAGTTACATTATTAGTATTTCAGTTTTGTTTTTTGAACTAAAATATGTCAAATTTATCTGTTCTGCAAAATCTGAGATGATTTGAAAATATGTTATAAAATTGACAGATAGTCTCTAATCCCATTCTTTAGATAATGAGGATTTCTTGTTTTTATCTGAAATGTCATTCATCTTTCAGATGTGAAAGAGTGGCTGCACCAGAACCACAAACGATGCGTCAAAGTCAAGATAGGACCCGATGAAATAATTTCGACCGTCAATCGCAAGGGAGAAGTCTTGCGGAAGATAGATTTCAAGTCGGTTAATGTTCTTGTAGTAGAAGTAACGAGAGACACTCATAAAAAGCCCATGCTACTTATTAGATCACCAAGAGATCATGATTTGGTATATACTGTTTTTAATATCTCTGATTATAAAATAATATTTTAGTTTAATTTACTGTAGAGGAATTTTTACGAAGCAAAATATTAGCCTATTCTGCTGTCACGTGTACGATGGATGTTATTGTCATGTCGACTATGTGAGACGGTGGCTTTGCCAGTAGATAATGTCAACATGTATGCACACGAACATGGGAAACTGTTAAATATGTCGGTACCTTTGCAACACTGCCCTAAGCAAGCGCAATGAATTGTTGTGAGACTTTTGTTAATGAAGGAGTAAAACCTCTCGCAATTCATCATCGGCTAAGAATTTAGTTTGATAACACTTGTATGAGTCCGTAGGAAATTGTATGGATGGATTGAGAGGATGCAGACAATGTCACTATTCTCCTCGGCCGCGCCGAATAGTTCACCGTAAGAAAAGTGTAGCCGTAGATAATGTTATTTGGGGAAACTAGAGCATCGTAATCAAGAAGGTGGCATTACTATTGGAAATTAATGCTTGATCATTCATCACATCATTCATGATGAACAAAAGTTCCGCAAAACTGTGTGGACAGGCTTGACACCTGAAACGAATATAATATTGACGAAGAAATTCTTCGTCAATATTATGAAATTAAATAATGTGAAATTAAAAATAAAGCATTTCTGAGTTTCTTGACCGTTGGATGCGCTTCTTAATGGAACGAAGCTTTCACATAACGAAGAGGATGAGTCAGCGGTGCAAAAGAGCTGAGTTCCTGTCATTAAAAAATTCATTTACAACCATGTCTATTCGCTTTTCAAACTCTGGTGTTGAGTTTATTGATCAAGATAGGAACTATACAAAACAATGATGTTGTTGTAATTTAATTCCTTGCAATAAATTTTCTGTAAGCGAAGAGGATTTAATTTTTGATATTTGTACATTTAAAAGCAGGTTGCTTAACTGCAACCATTTATTACCGACAAGTATATTAGTTAAATTTGTAAAATTTCGCTTTTGTAAGTCTGGAGTTGTGATCAAATAGTGTTTGTTGAATATTTATGTTATTGTGAAAGTGGATTGTAAAGAGGGTTATAACTCTGATATTTAGAAACTAGCTCTTAACTGAATACAATTGAGTGACTATTTTAAGATAATTTAAGTAATACAATTACAGAGTTAATGCACTTGCACAAGCAACTTTTTTATCTTGATCAAAAGGAAATATGTTTTCTCTTAAAAAGCATCTGGCCTCCTTAAATTAAAGTATCAAAATTGAGTTGGCAAAGGTTTAAGTTGATGCAATTCTCTTGCGTCTAGCAATTCTTAATAAAGCAGATAGTGATTAGAAAACTGCTCAGGAATTATTAAAACCACTATAGCAGTTTTTATTAATTCGACGGTAGGTTAATTAATAAGACATAGAGCAAAAAAAATATTATTGTAAATAATAGGTAAAATGCAAATCCCTTAAGTCTAATAAACAGTAAATCAAAATAAAGTATTTAGGCATAAGATTTTGATCAGCAGTTCTTAACAAAAAGTATATCCGGTCAAACCTCGAAGGTGATATTTAAAGCCTATTTGTATAAAATTATTCTAATATTTTAAAATATAAATATCTTTATTAATAAGATGGAAAGAGCATACTTTTGAAATCTGTTAAGAAAACTCTCATTTAACTGAAGTAATATTTCGTGTTCTTTCCGGCGTAAAATAAAAGCTCGTACGATTCGATTACTAGCTTCGCGATGTCTTTGGGTCTATGCCAGAAAAATTAGGCTCATAACAACAGTGGTTTAATACCCATTTGAAATAAACACTGACTTGACAGGATTCAGACACGCAAAAATCTCTGGGTGATTTAATTGTGATATTTTTTACATTTTATGCAATTATTATTAACGAATGATTTTTTAAGCTGCAAAAGTTAGATAAGATTATTTAGACTTAAAAAAGAAGTCTGCCTCATAAATCACAGCAACCATCTTTTTATTAAATACACTGATGAAAAATGAAATCTTAATACCAAGAAAAAACATGTTTAGAGGACTGATTATTTACGCCAAACATTTGTCTAAGCAAACGTATATATATTTGACGAATTTTTCAAGGTCACAACATTAAAGTATGCACGGGAAGAACTATTTCAAATAGTGAAATAGTGGCACATTATCAGCCGCTGTAATCACCACGATGTTGATTGCAAGCATACAAACGCGCATGCATTGATTCGTACAGGTGGCTTACGTCATTTTGTGAAATGGAGTTCTAAGCCTGTTGCTCTTGGTCAGTCAAATCAGCAACAGTCCGTGCTGGTTGTGAATGACACTGGATTTGTGGTCCAATCATCTCCCATATATGCTCCATTGGAGAATGATCGGACGACTTTGCAAGCCAAGGCAACATGTCGACACTTTGTCGAGTACTTAGGATGATAGCAGCGGTAAGGGAACAAGCGTTAGTTTGTTGAAAAATGCCACTGGCATATTGCTTAAGAAGGCAACGCAACCAGTACAGTCTTCCGTCTGATATTCAGTTGCTGTCAAGGTGCAGCCTAACGATGAGAGTGCTCTTTATTTAACAGAAATTTGGACCCCAGACTGTAACTTATGATGCAGGTTCAGTGTGTCTGTGCTGCAGACAGCTTAAATCCAAGCAGTCCCCTGGTCACTTCTGATCAACATATGGTCATCATTGGCACCAAGACAGAAAGGACTCTCATCTGAGGGCAAAACAGATCTCCACTTCGCCCTTGACTAAGCTCTAGCTTGACGCCACCGAAATCGCAGGCGGCGGTGTTTTGAAGTTAGTGTTATGGCCGCTGCAGGGCATCTGGTTGGAAGCTGTCCCTCAAAAAATCAATTTGCACAATTCGCAGTGACAACGAAAGCTCGAGTATCTGTTGGAAATGCAGTGCGATGCGCTACAGTCATGCGGCGAATACGGCGCTCTTTCCTTTGAGTGATGACGGAACGTGTGCGGCCAAACTCTAACCTTCATGAGGCAGTATGTTGCCGTGACCACTGCTGACAACACGCATGCAGAGTGGGTATATCCCAAGTCATTCTGCAATACCACGAAAAGAAAGTCCACCTTCTCGTAGCCCTATTGTTTAAACTGAGTAAGCTATTAATACTGGCTTCTTCGTCTCCTTAAAGGCATTCTTGACTCAAATCTCGCTCACAAAAATCCAATCTGAAAGGTAAAAAAATGTAAGCGAAGTTTACATTGCGTTTTTAAAGGAAACGGGATTTATATGTTAATAGTGGCGTTACTAGCACCACCTTACTCCTATAACGCAAAATAAAAATAGACATCATCTTTCAGATGTGGAAACATGCCTTCCAAACTTAATGTTTCTACACAGCTCCTTCTTGGTAGTTGAGATTGCGTTTCTCATCAGTGTTTATTGGTTCGCAGCGCAATTATGTTTTTGTCTTTATGGCCACAACAGCCATGAGAAGACATTAGATAAAAATCAAATAACAAAAGATCATGTATAATGCTTAAGGTCTAAAGGTTTAAAGTTCATGAAAGGAAGGTAAAGATCTGAAAATACATTTTTAAAATATAGATATGAAGTGAAAATCCAAATTTGAATCATTTACTAAAAAGGGAAAATTTTGAAGAAAAAAGAATATACATATCAATTGAGAAAATATTAGGTAAAAAAAGTCTTCTTAATTTTTTAAGAAAACTTTTCCTGTAACTTTTCCTCTAACTTAAACTTTTCCTTTTAAGAAAACCTGAGCTGTATGCACGGTGCTTTAAACTTCTTGCAATTCCTATTTTACTTTCACTACTATATTTACTTTTATATACTTTTATTGCTATTCTTATTCTTCTCTAGGTTCTTCAATTCGAAAACCAGCAGGGCAGAAAAAAATTCTTACACAAGCTCGAAAACTTCCTGGTTAGTCGAAACAAGACGCTTGAGACAATACAGATGAACAGAGAAGCCATGCTGGCCAATGCCGAAACCAAAGAAAAGAGACAGAAAAGGCTAGAACACTTTTTCAGGGAAGCCTATGCATTGGTAATAAACATGATCTTTATCATGCTTTTACAGACAGATGAAGTAATCGATTGGCTTTGTGCAACAAATAATATTTCCATTTATTTCTGTTCAGCAGTAATTCATATAAAAGCTCTTTTCAGAAATATCTTGACATGAATTTAATAAATCGTTTACAGATAGTTGAGGAAAACTGACATGCCGTGTCATTTTTACTAGTATTTTAAATTTTCATTCATTGCAGAACGGCAGGTGATCTTAGCATGCACAAAGTCATGACATTTTTGTAGAAACATCCTGTCAACTATAGAAGAGCTTTGAGATTGGTAAAGAAACGATCTTAATGCGCTAGGAGTAATGATAGTACAAAATATAAATGCACAGAATTATTAAGTAGCATTATTGTTTAAGGTTTAAGTTAAATTACTTTGATGGTTTTCCATCTGTCAATTTGCAGATAAAATTAATTTAACATTCCTGGATATTTAATAATACTTTTCGATCACATTTAATAAGCATTGAACAGGCATGGTTTTGTAATAAAGGTTTATTTTTTATTACAAATTTGGAAAGTTCTAAGTACTTCTATAAACAGAAAAAGCAACAAAATAAAAAAAAAGAATAATACAATATGTAACAGAGTAGACTCCAAAATTTCCTGATGAAGCTAATAAGCATGAAACTGTGATATTCAATACAAGATAAGAAAAGGAAATGTGTTTAAAAGTAAACATTTATTTAAATATGCGTTAGAATATTCATTTATTTATTTAAATATATGTACTACGACTGTTAACTTTAGAAGAATAAGCTGCCCCGTATGTTAATATCAAGCAAGCAAAGCAAATAGTTTATAGTAATATGCATAATTCTTGCAAATTTTTGATAGTTTCAGAATACCAGTATGAATAGGTTAAATGAGATAATTCATAAGCTGTTAGGCTGCCTTCATTTAGGACATCTCAAAAATCATTGTTCTCATTTGAGTTTTGTGGATATGGTTAATGACGCGTATCTCGTCTTCTGATACTTGGATTCTGATCTTAAACCGATGATTTTTTATCTAAAACCGATGAGGACGATGACTAGTATGTGCTTTTCACATTCTTATCGTCTAGCCTATTTGTAATCAGTTGTGTTTTGAGTTGACGCTTTTTAGTTTGTATAACAATAAAAGAATTTCTCGCAACAGAATTTTACGACAAATGATTATAGAATTTCAATATAGGCCTTGCTACAATCAGTGAGTCGTTTTAATCTCTTTAACAAAAATTATATTCCGTCATAATATTCTCACTAATAAAAATTATTTTACGCAAAATGGAAACTTCATGTATAACATAAGTTTTTTTTTTTTTTTTTAAGAGATTCTCTAAGTTTTGTCACAAATCAAAATACATTCCTTTTTGGGTAGTACCCAAAATATCGATTCATTTATGGAAAAGAATTGATTGCCATTGCTCAACATCCAGTTATCGATATTCTGTAGAGCAGTGCCTTTGAACTCTTCTTTGATTGTCCGATAAATCTGTCGCGCCATGGACCTTTGATTGCACATTTCCACTTTGATAACGGTGAAGTGATTTTTGTTGATGTAAGCTAGCTGTTTATCCATTAGAACATCTATTGTTCTTTTACATACTGATGACTATTTACGTGTGGCTTTAATAAGAATTAACTGAATTTCTTTTGAGTAGTTTTCCGGCTAAGGACGTTTTAAGAGATTAAATATACCCTTTTGGGGTAAAGTTCAGCACAACCATCTGGCAGTGTTTCGAGAAAAATTTCTGTTGAATTTTTACAGTCTCTCTCAAAGAAGCTGTTGACTGTACAGTGTTGTCCAAATTAAAATTTGGTGATCATCAGCACTTTGATTTGACGGTTAAGCTTCGTTTCCCTCTTCCAGTCTCTCTTCAAATAAAGAAGAGGTATGAATTAAATGAATTTTGCGTATGTCTGCCTTCTGGTTTACCCGAGGTCTGAGCACACAGTTAATGACTAAAACGTTTTGCATTCGGTCTCCCAAACATCTCAATGATATTAAATCTAAATCTTTTCCAATGTATCCTTTTGACTTAGAAAGTCAGGCATTCGATTTGCATTGAAAGTACTCTTGATTTTTTAGGATTTTTCTTAAAAGTCATTGATTCTATATTTTTCCTTGTCATTTAAGTACCACTATTATATATTAAAACCAGTTGCAGATTCGATAGTGAAGCTTTGGAATATTTAAGTATTTGCGATGGCTTTTTGGTATATGTCCAAAGTTTAATCTTCCTATTATCAATTAAACTGCAGAATCTAGAAAATTTTACTGACGATGTAGGTTTGAGTACTTTTAAATGAAACCTATACTTTGAAAAATACTGATAAACCACTGAGCATAATTTCTAAGATTAAGATTAGTCAAACAAAGCCCATCATAAACACCGATTTACTTATTCGTGAAATTTTTTAAAATGTTAATCATATATTTAGTGTCTGATTATTTTACATATAGCTAAATCATATTATAAACATTTATCAAGTTTTCTTTGTAACTCTACATATTTATGTATTATCTTCTAATTATGTTTTTGGTTTAAATATGAATTAAGTGACTTGTTTAAGCTGAAAAGTACTAACCTGTTCTGTGTAGATGTATTACTTATAAGTAAGTATGTCGGTCTTTAGACCTTGAGTTTAAAAACATTCGCAATATTTAGATTTGCGTAACTTTTAAAGAAAATTAAAATAATTGCTCAATTTTATTTTTAAAATTACAGCGTAAATTGAAAGCGAATTTAAATTTTTCATCTTTGCAGCTTGAAAAAGGCAATCAAGAAACTAAAATTAATTTTTTTATAAGGAGGAATTTACCGGTGCATTTACATATGTAAGCTAAAAAATACTGATTCCTCATTTAGATAGTTTAACAGCAAACTTTGACATTTTAATATACATTGATATATTATCTCTACATCAATGTATATCAGAATATATATTATCTATTCTTGACATTGATAACATTTTTGAAAGTAACTATTTATGATAGAAGAATAGATAACACTGATATATTATCTATTTTTCTATCATAAATAGTTACTTTACACCGAATTTGCAAATTAGTTTCTCTTTTTTTATATATAGTAAAAAATTCCTACCAAACTAAAACAAAATAGCTTCTCCATTTGAGAGACGATAATAATTCCAGTAATAATAAACCGTGTAGCAAGCCTTTTTGTCACATATTATGTTAGTATGTAAAAATAATTAAATTAGCTTAATGTATGAGCTCAACGTAATTTTGGTCAGCTGGAATTTATTGCATAACTGAGCCTTAATTCATACCTGTAATTGATTTTCCAGAGTTTGCTGTCATTAATTAAGGGAGTAAAATATGAAATTTAAATGAAATATTATCATTAATTATTCATTAATTGGTAATTAATGAATTTTTATCTGTCTGGCGCAGACTTTCGGCTTGAAGCCAGGAGAAAGAAGAAAACTAGAGGACATCGGCAGTGATATCATCATGGTAATGCGAACGTCACTGTCCAAAAATGAATTCGCCGATGCCCTGGGCATGAAACCTGATTCATTATTCGTCAAAAGAATGTTTAACTGTGTTGATAAGGATAAAGATGGTCAGATAAGTTTCCAAGAATTTTTGGACACCGTGGACTTATTCTCTAGAGGTAAGCCATATTCTTGGTACTAAGAGGGACTCACAGGTGCCGTTCCTCATTTATATTACGACTGCATTTTCAGCATAGAATAATCCCTTTCTTTTCTCAGTGACTAGTCTCCTATAGTATTATGCGGATGACAACACAATGGGTAATGACACGAATTACCACTATTAAAACTACTATTACCACTATTTTAAATGTCATTTTTAATGGTGGGAATTCGTACAGTATTTGAATATTTTCATCTAAAACTCTAAAAATATAAGTAGTTACAAATCTTTACGTACTAACTGAGTTTAAGAGTTCTTAATTCGGTAAAAATATTAATAAATGCCGAAAAGAAGGTAAAAAAACGGTATTTGTTGAACTTCTCTTTCTTTTTTTTTCAACTTTTTTAATATTTTTCCATAAGATTCAAATAAATATTGCATGCATCTTTTGAATTCAGTCCCTGTTTCATTAGAGGGTGCAATTCAATAATGTAATTACCGAAGAAAAAAGTTTCACTTGATATTTTTGTTGGTAAATTTATCTAAAAATGTAGCTTCAACTTCACCTCTAAAAGTGCCTTTTCATTTGGAACTACTTAAACAATTCTAGGATGTTATTATAAACTATTTAACTCTTGTGAATATTCCAGCTGATGAATATCGCAATGCAAAATCATTTCTGCCGAATTTGTTTCGTTAGCTACATGAACGCTTTCTCTTTATACATTTTGCGCTACCAAGACACTATTCTGTCCTACTTTAATATTTCTAACTCCATTTTGTTCAGACAAACATTTTCTGTGGAATATTTAATCTCATCTACTTATAAATCACCTCTTGTTATTGTCGAGATATGTCGATTGCGAAATGTCCCCTTATCTAGCCGTGACATCAGTTCCGGTGAAATATATTTCATCCAGGAACTTATTTCCAGTGATAGAAAAAGGAGAAGCTCATGTCTCGAAAACATCTTTCCTAGTTTGACATGTCGTTAACTGACTGACTGTTTGTATATTGCCAGAATGCAGCACATGGCCGCTTGTCCGGCTCCATAAATTGCCATGAAGGCACGTCGCAGATGGGATAAACAGCATAAAAATTTACTTAAGTTATTTACACAGCGGTGGGCAAACTAAGATTGCTCTGCATTTAGGAATATGACAAGTGAAAAAAACTCAGCTTGAGTTCCATTAGTGCTCGCTTAAAATTAATCACAGCTCTTTTCAGAATTTCTTCTCAGATATGATATTTTGAGGACTTAGGTTGTGAAATGCTATTTACTAACACGGCCATGATTTCTGTTCACACTTTTGGTGATTGTCTGTACATAGGTAAGCCCAGTGCGATCCTTTCTTCTTTATCAAGAGATCGCAATGGGCAACTACTTTTCTATCACTTTTGCTGTTTTATCTTCAATGGCCATAAGTCAAATATTATCCTTAATTTTGAAGAAAGCTGTTTAGTTTCTCTTGACACTAAGGCTATCTTCAAAAGTGCCAAGTGATCAACAAATTACATAACAAATGCATTACCAAATCTCATATTACACTCAAATTACATTGTAACAATATGTTGAAAGAATAATTTAAATTAAAAATTCAAATTTGTTATCTTTAGTGTGAAAAATTCTGTGCTTGTTCTTGCCTTTTAATTTTTCATTCACATTCAGGTAAAACTGAAGCCAAACTACGAGTTATTTTTGATATGTGTGACGATGATGGAAACGGTGTTATCGACAAACAAGAACTAACGAAAATGCTGAGATCCCTAGTAGACATTGCCAAGACGAACTCTCTGGGAGAGGATCAGGTGATGGAACTCATTAAAGGAATGTTTGGAACTGCAGGCTTGGACTCTAAAGATAAATTGAACTATGATGATTTTAAGGTGTTGATGAAGGAATTCAAAGGAGATTTTATTGCTATTGGGCTAGATTGCAAAGGTCAAAAATAAATTCTTTCATTTTTCTTTTATAACAAAATACTTTATTTTTTTAAGCAGAATAAAATTACATCACTAATCAGTTAATAGTAGAAGATATTAAAAAAATCTATCTAGACTTTCTGAAATGCATTTAACCTGTTTGCATTGAATTTGAATCTGCTGTTTTATTTGGAAAATTATTAGTTATTACTTACTAAGGGAAATTTTATTGTTACCATATAGTATGTAAACCAATAACAAAATTAAGATACAATAACACGCCGAATAAATACTAATTCAGAAGTCAAACAACAAAAATCATTTCCGTGCTCTTCAAGTTTGCTCTTCCAAACTAGCCCTTGATGAAGAACTAAATTATTTAAAAGCAATAGCCATTGACAGGGGCTTTTCGCCCAACATTATTATCAAGCAGTTAAAAAATTTTCATTCAACACACTAAAGGCACACTCTTGTTTTAGGAGATTATAAAAATTCTGTTATCATTCCCTCTTTCCATCCATTAGCTATAAAGTGCACATAGTTTGCAGAAATTTTAACTTTCGGGTCGTTTATTTCCCATCAATAAAATTCCGAGTTCCATACTCAAGGACCCCATCCGGATATGAATTCCTGGGGTATTTATAGGATTCCTTGCCAGTGTGGTTTAATTTACATTGGCCAAACTAGAGAGCCTTAAATTTCGCGTCAAAGAACATGAGGAGCGTTCTGTTAGAAAAAAGGAAACACAGAAGTCTTCTGTTGCTCAACATGCTGGTCCGAAAATCACACTTTCAATTTTTCTGCTGCCAAAATTATTCAAAAAACATCTTCCATTGGAGAACTGGATTTTCTAGAGGCATTTCACATTTATTAAAATCTTTCTGTTCTAGTTAACGATCCTAATTACAATCCATCTTTGGCTTCGGCCTTTAAAGAAATTATATTTTAGTTCTGGTTTCATCAAGAGATGGCGCCACATGCTTAGTCTTGTGCAAGCTTTCTTATCTTATCTAATTATTATTTCCTATCTTGTTTATTTGTGGTTTTGCAGCTGAGGATGGTGGTTCGGTAAAACCATCGAAGCTAGTCCTGTGAAAATTTTGTAAATATAGCCCTGATTTTTGTTGTTTTCTTCTGAATCAGGAACAAAATGTTGTGCATCATGCATTAAGAGATAAAGAAGTACAAAGCTTAATTTCAAAATTTTAGACAATGGTTTAGAATAATTTTAGACAATGGTTCTGCTGCTAATGTATGAATGTTTGTCTACCAAAATCTTAAGATAACTGGAGTGTAATCAAACTAAACTTTAAAAAATGAATTATTCAATTTCAGTCTTAAAGGAAACAAATTCTGAGATATTTTTAGCCAGAAGATATTTTATCTAGGAAAGAAAGGGTTGTTCATTTATTGAATTCCAAAAGCAAGAGAAGCTAAGAAGCTAATTTCCTTCTAAAACCTTTATTTATTATTTTTCCTTAAGTTATGAGGAAGTATTTTTCATTATAATATTATAAATCGAAAACTAAAATATTCTTAACAATAAACTTGGGAAATGTATTTGGTTCTATCTTTGGTAAGTGAATCAGTGTTTTCCTAATTTTCTGCATGTAGCAAAATTTCACTTAAGAGATCTTCATTTTACCACCTTTCTGTAGGCAAATAAAACTTCTATTCTTAAGTTGTAATTAACAACTTTTTTATTATAATGAGTGATATAAATGATCTATGATATGTACAGTTAGTGTTCAGACTTTAAAAATTTTACCGAAATTAAAATCTATAAATTTTTAGTTATTTCTCAACCCCATTGCATATGCCATTACTTTAAAACTTGATTGTTACTGCAGTAAATGGATTAAAATACTTTTTTCATTTTTATTATACTTATGCTTCGGAGGTTTTAAATCAGTTTTGTTACATTTTCATTGTATCTGTCTGTATATGTTGCAGCTTTAAGTAAAAGTTTAATAAAATTTTCCACTGCAGGAGCGAAGCAAAATTTCTTGGATACTTCAACTAATGTTGCAAGGTGAGCTTTCAAATATACTTACTAATAAAAACAATATATTATGAAAACCGTGTTCTGTATCATGATCATTCATGAGATAATGCCTTTTTTGCATGTTATATGTATATTGCATTCATATTTGGACTTTATGAATAAGATCGAACTAAAAATGTTATTTTGCTGAAATTTTAACGACGTAAATTGCCTTACCATGCTTGCTTACTATTTTAATTTTAGTACTATAACTACTAAAATAGTTCTTTAAACCTACAATTATTTTATTTTTGTTGATGAATTACAGTTTGCAAGAAATTCCATGTTTAATCATAGTTATTTTGGGGCAGTGCAAAAACCTACTGTGAAACAGTTTATAATGTGTACTCTTTAGCATTAAACTATCCGGTATAAAATTAGGGCTAAGAAAATGCATATAAAAGTAAAGATGATTTATTATTCACTGCATAAAAATAAGACTTGCCTATGATCAATAACAATTATTAATGACTGCGACAGAGAGAGATTAAGTATAAAGATTAGTGAGATGTGAATAGGATATAAAAGTTGGTTTGAGTCTTTCTGACTAGTGTCATATATTATTAGTTGAAACAGAATATGTAAATCAGTCAAATATAATTAATCTTGGATTTAAAAGCAGGTTAGAAGACAGACGACGACATGCTATCAATGCTTTAATTCTATGAAATATCTTTACGCATATACATGTTTACAAATGTAAGTATACCTATAAATATGCATTAAAGAACAATCTTTCATTTTCATCTTCTTCTCTTAATATTTTTCTCAAAATATACTTAATGATAACTGAATAAAGCTGAATTTATTTGCATTTAAGAGTAAAATAAGCTGCATTCACACCATTAGTTTAACACAGTAAAAAACTGTAATGACTAATTTAAATAATTCTGCAAAATGTCTTCTAGATTTCATAACCGGGAAGTGGCTCTACCAGTTTCCGAGTAATTAAGGGCACTGAATATTGGGACTACTTCGACCTAAGTTCGAACCTAGGATTCATTGGTGTTTTTCATGGTTTTCCCCATTCATAATGTGGATATGAGCAAGTTTTCTTAGAAAGTGCTCCATGAACGCATTCCTCTTTATAGGCAGATAATCCTTGTGTACTTTGTCATATTAAAGCAACCTAACTTAGCGGAGAAACTGATAGACATTGAGGTCCTCCAATCACCGAGTTTGTAAAGAAGGAAAGCACTAAGTTGGTCGAAACATGTTTTCATTCCTGCTGATTAAACAAGCTAACTATAGTTTTTTTTTTTTGTTGTTGTTGTTGTTGTTGTTGTTGCTTTTTACGTGTAAGTTATTTACGAAGATTTTCTTTACATTAGACTAGTATTCCTAAATTTTTCTATACCTCACAATCTTTGGATTGCACCTACATACAAATAGCACCATCTGTCACTAGTGACAGCGTATCCTATGTTTGAAGAAGGTAATCACAAACCACACCTTGCTGCATATCTTGAAATTTCGTCTCCGATCTTAATAGTATGCAGGCACGTATGATTGGAAACCTCTGAACATGGATCTTTCATGCTTTTCCGTAATTAAAAAAATCTGATGTGAACACCACATAGAGTTTCTTATACGGCCTATTAAATGTTCGTTTTGAAATAACAATAAACTGATATTAAATAGTGTTAGCCTAACTAATCTGTTGTTATTTATTTATAGTTAGATTTCATTATTTGTCAAAAATTAATTTTATAAAAATTGACATTGCCCAAACATGAATATATTCGTCATAAGACATTTATGTAATTTAAAGTATATGACTACAGCCATTCATTGCGAAAATAAAGATCATATAAGGATTTTCACATTGCCCAAACATGAATATATTCGTCATAAGACATTTATGTAATTTAAAGTATATGACTACAGCCATTCATTGCGAAAATAAAGATCATATAAGGATTTTCAAGCCGTGTAAGAGGATGCGTGTGGGTGTGTACACACCCTCCTTTATACGGCTTAAACGTAAACCCCTTACCAGCAAAAGCATGTATATACGTTTGGTATTGGCGATTGCTATAAAAAAAAAAACTAGGTGAACAACTAGATGTCACAGAAGTCCCATATGCAAAATTTCAACGTTCTATGGCCAATCGATTCTGAGTTATGCGAGATGCCTACATACATGTATGTCATACGTAAGTAGAGACGGCACGAAAAAAATCCCTTTTGAACTCGTTTTAAATCACTTTTACAGTCCGTTTAAAAAAAAAAAAATAATCATTTATTTTGCGCGTATTTTCAGACTTCACGAGAAAAAAAAAAAAAAAAAAAATGTCCAAATGAGTTCTTAAACATTCAAAATGGATATTGCCATTAAACCAGGATACCCGAAGTTTTTCGCGATTAAGATATTTCCTTTACTTTGTAAAGGGAAGTAAAAAACCATACTTGGAAAGCCGTATGCGTAAAAATAGTGTAATTTCTACTCTTTTTTTTCCTTATCATTCATGTTTCTTTTATTTAGCAAATTTTTAGTCTGATTTAATAAAGAATTTTAGAAGAAAGAATGTTTAATTTGCAATACTCATAGAAACTAAAATGAAGATGATGCTGTTTGATCACTTAATAGATATTACTCAATAGTACTGCTTACAATATTGCACTGATAGACGGCTAACAAATGCAAAGTTTAGAGTTATTTGTTTATTAATCATCTATCAACTCGTACTGAAAATTTAGTAAGGAAGGCATGTTCATCCAAGTACAAATATTGAAAATTTGTTATTTTTTACGTTGGAGATTTAATTATTCTTCCTAATGATTGCTTAGTGTTCAAAATATTGTAATAAATCAATAATTCGTGTTACATATGAGTTTCTATTTCAGTAGCAAAGAAAGTATTCTGTACATTTTATCCTCCTCATATTAATCTTTTGTATAAATCATCCTTAGCCTTCTTGTTCTTCTCTTTTGTTGAAATCAAAATAATTGTCATTATTTTCAGAGAAAACTTAATAATTAATATTTCAATAATTTTTTAAATAAAATTTTGCTTTTATTTAGTTTAATTTCTGCAGCTGCACTTTCATAACTTAGTAATGCACAAACTTGATTTAGCTACGTTATTAGCTTTATTTTACAAATTTGATAATACCAGGCCTTAATGAATTACATCAAATTAGGAAACTTTCAACATCACAATTATATAATTAACTTCTGTATTAATTTCTGTGTATATAACTTTAATGATGAACCGAAACTGTACTGAACTCTATGAGATATTTATTAAATAGCAGTCTTCTAATTGAAGAGAGAGCTTTAAATTTTGCAATAAATATATGCCTGTTTATCTTCTCACATCAAGTAATGATTAATTTCCTTCCTTTGTTTAATCAAGTAAACCAGAACGTAGGCATTTTAAAATAATCCTGTCTCTACAAATGTTTTATAAGTATCCTTAAATTACTAACACAGTAGTTTAAGATGTCTTTTCCTCATTTAATCAAATTTGTTTGTTTTCTGTTAGGATGACAAGTTTCCAAATTAATCATCACCAAGAAGAGAGAAAAAATTATTGGCGGATGAAATATAATCACATAGCAACATTCTTGGAAGAATATAGGCAGCATATTTTCTACCTTTTTGTGTTCTACGTCATTAATGTTGTTTTATTTTTAGAAAGATTTATCTGTAAGTATTTCGTGCATTTTAAAAAAATATTCAGTGGTGTTGTATAGATGGCAGCACTATGATGAAGCAAGTCAGTATTCAAAAAAAGTATGCTGCTGCCATCTATATGCAAATTTAAGTACTTTGTAAAAAACGTTTAATACTAATGCATTCTGTAACAACAAATATTGTTTGTATACTTAAGTATAGAAACATAAAAGTATTTAAAATAAAAATAATTACTGAAAATAAAATGATGACTGAAAGTATAAAAACTAATAACTTAACTTTTATGTCTTCTATTAAAAAACAAATGAGCAAAATTTGGAATATTTATAAATGAAAGAAATATATATATATATGTTCGTTATTTAGAATATCGGCATAAACACAAACAAGTATTTTGTTATCCAGAATATGATTTATAAAGATTATAATAAACAACCATTGGTATGTTTATGAATAAAACATCATTTCATCCATATGTTCATGCATATAAAATATACGATGTAGACAAGATTATAAGAAATATACCACCTCGGATAGTTAGACACTAAGAAAAAGCTCACAAAAATTTTGGATTAAAAATTACAGTTGTAAAATGTTTCATCACTCATCGCTTCGTCTTAAGCCTCATTTCCTATTATATAAATTACATACTATACAGACCCAAGGAAAAAGACGTTTTTTCAATCTTATTTTTATGCTGCATTTTTTTTTTTTTTTTAAATTTATTTATTTTTTTTTCCCAGTGTGGGCAAATCGGTTCCAATACACGTTTAACAGACAACATAAAAATAAGATTGAAAACATGTCTGTAAGACATGTATTGAAACCTACATGTCTGTACGATACATGTCTTATGTAGCAATTATCGAACATGTCATGTTCGATAATTGTTGCAAAGAACCGGATATGGATTTTTTGCCTGTTTTTTTTCTCCTGAGAAAATGCAGAGCTTCTTTCCTTCCAAATCGAAATATTAAATCATTATTCAGAAAATACCTGATTAATTAGTCTCAGTTATTAATCATATGACTATGCAAAAAGAATAACATGTTAGTAAAGACAAATTGAGAATTTCAAAAGACAGTTTGAAGTTTATGGTTTCTGTAATAAATTGAAAATGTGAGATATGTGTTAGAGAGCATTATATGATACTTTATCATTTGGAAAAATGAAACAAGCACACGTTGGAATTATATTGCATGCCAATTTATGTTACATTCAGAACATGCTGTAATATGTATTATCAGGGCCGGACACTAAACATTTCACAGCCCTGTGCTGCTGCACGGGTTGCATCAGCGCTAGAGCTAGCCCTGAGTGGTATACACTAATATTGTAAAGACTAAAACTGTGTATTGTTGCACTTTAATATGAGCTATTATTCTCTAGTTAAATAAATTATCCCTAGTCTGAGTAGTTAAATGATAAAATGTAATAAAAATAATTTTGTGATTAATTTTATTGGTTTGAATTTTATAGAAATTATTCCAAGCAGATTTTGTGTTATAGCTATTCGTTGCTTTTTTGCATTAATGTCTCACTGTTCCATAAAGGTTAAAGTGTTAGCAGGTAGTGTATTCTAGCCATTAAAGATGCAAAAATGACCTTTAGTGGCATTTAAATCTTACGCAATTTCTGTGCGTTCTTCACGTCAAATCTTTTCTAAATTACAAGTGTTAGAAAATGGCATATTACAGCAACATGATCATTTCGGATGATGCAGAAAATATGTTAATTAGAATTTAGATAATTGATTCTATTATGTAACTGAAATAGATCATGTGAAATAATTTTCTTTCCTCGTTTTCTCTTAGTCATCCTGTTTGCCAATATTGCATAATAATCTTTAGTCATCCTCTCTTGCAGTTGTAGATGTGAAAGCATCTATTTTACTAGATCCTTTCTAGCAGATAATGGGAATTTTATGGCATTATTTGTCGTTATTTTTTTAATTTGCAGTCTTAATACAGGTTTGATATAAAACCCATTTTTAAAATTCTCTTAAATTATTTTAACTAATTTTTATTAAATTAATGTATTTTAAACTAATAGGAGTAGAGGGAACAAAAATATGGAGAAAATCGAGTGAAAATATTTTCTGTTTTCTTCATGTTATTTTCTGAAATAAGATGAATTAAGAGCGCGGTCAGCGACAACTTTTTTCTCAATTGATATATCGACTCAAAATAACTTCAGCTCTGATTTTTGCAATGTTAGGACAGTTTAAACAATTATTTTAGAATTTTTTATTAAAATATTATAAATAACTGAATTTGTGTATCCATTTTTAAAATTTCTGTGGTCTATAATGGGATTTGGATTCGTATATTATCTCCTTTCTAATAAATTTGCTTAAAAATATTTCAGTGCTATAAATAAAATTGATGAATAAAATTGCTTTAAAATATTTCAGCGCTCTAGATAATTATGCATAGACTAAAATTATCTAGAGCAGGAATTTCCAGCTTTATTCTTGCGTCGACACTTTTAAAACAATGGTTTTCTTCATCGACCCCTTATATTTTTCTCTATAATATACAGCATAAATCATAATAATGCAAATAACGTAACATAAGTAATTTAAAGGCAACACTTACACTATAAGATATGAACAAAAGTTTTTAAAGGCAACACTTACACTGTAAAATATGAACAAAAGTTTAAAAAAAATATATGTCTTATTATGTTTATGTTTTATTATGTTTGTATTATAACTTCTTTTATTTTTATAAATGTAAGTCTTCAGAAGCAAAATCACAGATTATAGTTGCACAAAAGTTCGATTTTAATTAATGTGAAGGGAGTTTGATGCTTTGATTTCAAGTTACATCGCCAATTTCTCGGAACCCATAAACTTAAATGTCGAAATATAAAACTGAAAATATTAAAAGGCTTCTTTGCATACTTTTTTGTAACGGCGTTTATGTGCGTATGGCAAAGCCGACAACTATAGACACTGTGAATACAATTACATTCTGTTCTAGGATCGCTATTATCCCTTCTGCTATGTAGTACATTTGTTTACTTGGGGAGCAATTACCACGAAGGACGTAGCAACATGATGCTAAATTTTCTGCTCTGTGGCTGGAGAACAAAAGAGCAACAATTAGCTTGTAGAGTTCTTGTCAAATGTAAATGATACACTTTCATGTTGTTGATGTAACTGCCATTTGATCAGAACTATCTTAAGTTTCAACGGCCGACATGAGTGAAAGAATAGGCTTAGATTTTGCTGTTGTTCATTACTTCGCGTTTGAGTTTTTCGTATCTTTTTTACTGTATTTTTCTTGTGTTCATGCATTTTAGTTTTCTGTAGTGCATATATTGCATAAAAGGTTTTATTTGTTTTAAAAAATATTAAATTACTTTTGTGTGTTTTCCCCATGCATTTATTTTATGATTTCTTCCTTTTTACATGATTTAGCGTTATATCAATAAACAATTAATAAATACTTTTGGAATCAGTGCGATCTTGATTATGCCAACAAATTGCCAGTGCGTATTCGGTTACCAATCCCTTGATCACCATGGATCTCTTTTGGAAGTTCATAGACCTCCAAGGAATCAGTGTTGACCCATGGATGACCCAGTGATGACCCATGGACCCATCAACACCGACCCCGCTAGAAAATCCTGATCAAAACCCTCTTACGATCTGCTATACAGGTGCACGATTCTCAATCAAAGACCTAGCTCGTTATGTCTGAAAAGTACAATCTCTGCCCGATAAAGGATAGAACTTGACTAAGGAAAAGAATCAGGCTCTGTTTCCTGATTCATTGATAAGCATAAGTACTTCAAAGTTAACTTCGCTAAATGCTCTGGTTTGAACTGATGTAGGAGCAATCACCTGTGAAATATGTATTATAATTATTTCTTGGAGACAAATAAATCAACATCCTTACTGTAGCACACTCTAGCAAACGTGGTTGCGCACAAAACATTTCTCATTCAACAACCAGTATTTCATAAAAATATAAAATGCATCATGAGCAAACTTGAAACTCTGGGCTCGGAGCTCTTCAGTACAGAGTTTACTTTTCCACAAATCTAAGCCGTAGTTTTCTGCCTCTTCGTTATCATGCACCCGTAAAAATAATTCGTAAAAACATTCAGCTCACAAGTTAAGTCATGCCCATTTTATATATACTGTTTCTTACTGCAAGTGTATTCAAAAGATACATGCAGATAGCCGCATTCATATGCGTGTGTATAGAAGTATGTAGTTATAGCGCTTTTGACCACGATGTTTCAGACTGCGATGTGTTTTCTCTTTACTTTTTATTCTCCCATGATATTTCGTAAAACGAAGATTTTCTCTTTGCGTTGTTTCTCGAAAGTGTTTGCGTCCGTGATGTTTTCGCCGGAATGTTTTCGACTGTAACCTTGTCCCTGTTTTTAAGGGGAGTCAATTGTTGTCTACGAGGAATACTCGCATTCTCATGTAACGTTTCTGCTGGCAGACGATGAAACACTACTTTTAACATTTCGATGAGGCCGTCTACTTATATAAGTAGCGCGGCATTGCTCAGGCCACGCATGTGATATCATTCTGAAATGTTAATCATTTGCTTATCATAACCCACTTTGCATTGTTTGATTCTTTAAAGGGTTTCATTTTTGTAAAGTGGAATATATAAACTGGCTAAAATCTTTTACGTTTTCATTTTGATAAATTAACAACAAAGCACTGGTAGGTTTATTATTAAGGAAAAAAAGAAATCACACAAAATTATTTTTTCAGATTATAGTTATTTTACGGAACATATGGACCTGCGTCACGTGATGGGTGTAGGAATTGCCTTCACGCGGGGTTCTGCAGCTGCTCTCTCCTTCTGTTACTCCGTCCTGCTTCTAACCATGTGCCGGAACCTCATCACGAAAATCCGAGAGACATCGTTACAGCAGTTCATTCCCCTCGATTCACATGTCCAGTTTCATAAAATCGTCGCTCTTACAGCTCTGTTCTTCACGGGTACGTTTAACATTGCAATGTATTATATCTGCGGAAAATTGCGTAAATATATGTTTGCATTTTATTTAACGTTTATTTTGAGTTACGCATTCAAAATTCCTTTTTCTTTATTTTTTTTTTATCTTGTTTCATTGTAATTTTGTTCCTTTAGTTTTTGCGTTTCGCTTCCTTTTCAATTTTACTATTCATGTCATAATTTTGTATTTAGACATTGAATTATTTTATCATGCCATACAATATTAAATTCTATCCAGATAATTATTGAAATTTTGTATAGAGCTCCAATAGAAGCAATAAAAGAAGGTTTTAAGCTGAAATAACAGAATACAAGATGTCACAATGTAAAGACTGCACACATTTCTTGCCCATTGAGTAATATTTGTTAAAATATCACGAAATTTGAACGCATTATTTCAAAAATTTCCAGCAAAGCCCTTTTCCCCCAAACAGCTCACTGACGAATGAGCATAAGCCAAGAGTTAGCTTAGTTCTGAGATCAGGAGTTAATTTAAACTCAGTCTGTCATCGATATGACCGTTTTTAACATACTAACCAAATGCGCGATATCTTTTAACGACTTCCGGGCTTCGATGCTATAATTTCTCTACCGTTAGAGGTTCTGTATTTTAGAAAATAATTCTTTAACATTATTTAATGTGATCAAAATGACTTTGATAGTTTTTAATGTTACCGAAACTATATTTTACTCTGCTTTCACTGGTTCCCTGTCACCAAATTACAATAACTGCTGTGCTTGAAGATTCACAATAAACGGCAAATCACTTTTCAAATTGTTTCCACTAAATATTGTCGCCCTGTGTTATATATAAAGAAATTAAATAATGAAGAATCTGTATAAATATGTGTATGTTTTTCGCATTGGGATAAACCAACGGTGCCTAGAGCCATCAAAGTTTTGAATAACGTAATATTCCACCGAATATGGGCATCTGGAAGGCCTAATTTAAAATTTTTTTTTATTATCGATGTCATATTTTGAAACACTTTAACGAATTTTTGATTAACAAACTGAACGATTTCAAAGCGAGCAATGGCAGCGTTGTACAGAAAAAACATTTTTACCTCCAGCGTGTAAGACAGTGTATAGGAAATTCTAAAGATATGCTCAATTTAAAAATTATTTTGCGATTTTGCTGTTGAATTAAATTTATTGTGAAAAACATCATATTTAATAAATAAAGGTAACACACAATACGTTCAAATAAGTTCCTTTGGACATAATGTAAAATCTGAAAGCTTTCAGACAACTTTATTTTTGAGGACGTAGTGAAAAAGTACTGTTTTACATATAAAAAGTGCTCAAGTGCTAGGCAAAGGTGAATCTGGGCAAAGTCGTTATGTCATCACATGTGTTCAAAGTTTTTTTTTGCCAACGATAGGCCTAAATGCGCTGCTTTTGAGCATTCATGAAACCTTTATATTTATATAATTCTGTCACTTAAATTAAGTAATAAAATGGTATATTTTCAATGAAAATGCTGGCTATAAGAAACCCACTCAACGTTTTACTAACTTTTATTTCATACAATGCATCTAAAAGTTCGCTTGTAACATACTAATCTTTCATGCATATGCACTATTTCATGAAAATTTCAAAATGATAAAAAACAGAGAATTGAAAAATAATATAAAATTACTAAAGATATTTTGAAATTAAGCAACAGAGCTTTGTAAGGGAAGAAACAGAAATGTATACTTGGAAAAATTTACTGAATGAAATGAAAAATAATATTGACAGGATATACATGATAAAGAAATTTCGATTAGGACATCCATAACGTGAAGCGGTGATTCCTAAATCAGTTTTGAATGCTAAATCGACCCTGAAACCATGAACTGGATATTGTTTATAGTGCGAACATTTACTTTAATTTCCATACTAACGTTTATATTCGTTTGTTCTCGAAAAGCCTAAGAGACTCAAAAAAAAAAAAAAAAAAAAAAAAAAAAAAAAAAAAAAAAAAAAAAAAACTGTGCTCTAATTGTTATTGTCAATTTCTTGGAAGTTTAATGCGTGCACTTTATATTTTTGAAATGATGAACGCTTGAATATGTAATCTTTCCAGTTGTTCACAGTGTAGGACACTACATCAATTTTTATCATGTCTCCACTCAACCTCTGGATCACCTTCGATGTTTAACACAAGAAATGCAATTTGAGTAAGTAAATAGAATTGTGAAATTTCAAATGTGCATTCAATGTAGTTATTAAACGCATATATTGAAGAACATTTTCTAAAAACTCTCAATAACTTTTGATTTTTTATAGGTCTGATTTCAAGCCCACCATTGCATTCTGGCTTTTTCGAACGGTGACCGGTATGATTTTGTTTCAATTTGTTACACAATGCAAAAGTTTTGACGCTAAATGTGTGCCACTTGTTTTTCATTTAGTAGCTCATTATTAGTTTAGTTTATCTTTATGACACGCGAGTATATAATATGGACTAAAGCCACCAGATGTCGAAAGATAAATATGTTATTTGTGATATGAATATACTACTGAGCTATTTTTTATTATAACAAATGAAAATAATTATGTGTTGAACAGAATTAACGCTAACATCACGTGTTATACTGTTCTATCCCTAGAAATTCTTATAAATTCAAAAACGATTATTATTTTCAAATAGATTTCAAAACAATTTTTAATTAATGCGTTATTTTGTCCTGTACTTTTAAAATATGTCAGTACGCTTTGTCTCGTATTAAATTATATTCAATAAACTAGAAAGGTCTTTAAGTGATCTGCAATCAAACAGACGTCATTGAGCCGATCGTTTAGATGTAAAGTAAGACAATAATTAAAATTGAGAACAATCTTACTTCCAGGGTCGTTCCTAGGCCATTGACTGCCTGCGTACTTTCCTAAAATAGCCCCCCCCCCCCGAATTTGAAAAAAAAAAAAAAAAAAAAAAAGAAAAGAAAAAAAAAAAAAAAAAAAAGAAATCTCAATGATTAATAAAATTTTTATTTCATACTCACTAAGTACTTGCATATGACAGCGGCGCGCGTAACCGACATGTCCGCAAGAAAGACTAGGGATGACCTGGTTTACTTTAAAGTAAATTACTTTAACACTAAAACCTATGGCGTTTGTATCACATAACTGTTTTTTTATTATTAAATGTGATACGTTGTATATTGATGAGATTATGAAAGTCACAGTTTTTTTCAAATAGGATTTAATATATCTCATTAAAGCACTTTTTACTGCATTTCCCGCCTTTTTTTCACGCGTAATTCTTGTATAAACATCTTTAATATGGTAAAACAGTAAAACCTCTAAGCACAAAATTAATGAACTTAATGTTGCATAAAAATAAAGTAAAATTAGATAAGATTGATAGTACGTGATGCTTTGAAATAAATAAGGTAAAATTAAACAAGATCTGATAATTTTTTTAAAAAATTTAATGAACATTTTCAGGCAGTGATTTTTAAAACTATAATAACATTACAAAACGATCATTTATTTGATTATATCATCACTAAATTATTAAAATTGAAGTGGATTACTTATTTTAGTAATTCATAAAATTCGGAGCATAAAATTTTCTGAGTGTAATGAAGGGGAAAAAAAAAAGATAAAATAAAATCTAGAAGCACTCAGAGTTTATATTACGCCCAAAAGAAACCTTTTTTTAATGTTTTGCGTGTGACCTATATTTATTGAATATCATAATCTTCGCCCGTAAACCACATACATTTGAAAACAGCATATCTTTAGAATTTCCGCACTGGAGATAAAAATGTTTTTTCTGTACAACGTTGCCATTGCTCGCTATGAAGTCGTTGAGTTTGTTAATCAAAAATTCGTTAAGGTTTACAAAATATGAAATAGATTAAAACAAATTCGAAATTCGACCGTCTCCAGATGCCCATATTCGAGTGGAGGATTACATTATTCAAAATTTGATGGCTCTAGATACCGTCGTTTTTGTCACAGTGCGAGAAACATACATGTTTTCATGTAGATTCTTCATTGTTTAAATTCTTTAAATATAATACAGGGCTATAATAATTTGGTAACAACAATTTGCAAGGAGACACGGACATTTATAGTGAAACAGCGCAAAATGTCGCTTCGAGCTGATAAATTAAATTAAGAGTAAATAAAAAAAATCTTATGCGGAACTAAAAATAAATTTAAAAAATAATCACTATAAAATACAAGCAAAACTAATTATTATGGTTAAATACAATTTAATATTAGAATTAAATGTATAAAAATTAAGATGTCAAAAGTGTTTATCACTATGATGTATTATGGAAATATTATAATTGAAATAAAATTACTTTATAGAAATTGTGCTATAATACTCATCTACAATTTAAAAAAAGCAGCACAATTTAGAATTTTAAACAAAACTTTGAAAAATTCGTTTTTAAATATTTTAGTATTTTTTACGTATTTACACCAATAAAAAGCATAAAAATTGCAAGAGAAAATTGCTTGTTTGAAATTTTCTATTAGTTCCGATTTAAAATATTATTTTCTAAAAGAAGTAGATACAAATTTCCTTACAGCATAGGAGAAGCTAAAAAAATATCCAGCCCTGAAAGCATGCAATAGCTTTATAATATTTGGAACGTAATTATTTGATAAAATGCTAAATTTTGAAAACAATCTCAGTTTCAAAAAAGATTGAAAAATTCTAATTTGTGAATGAGGCACAACAGCTTTTTGAAAATTATACACGCTGCATAGGCAACATGTTCAATTCGCAGTATACAAGGCTCAGTGCTGGGCACTTCAGCAGGCTCCTAGGCTGGGACAGCCATATCCTGTGCAGAATTCATTGTAGATAGGCATATCTTTCCTGGCATAACATATTGGAGAGTATATAGAGGAAGAAAAATTTTTCCTCAAGAGAGATTCAGTGGTTGTTGTATCATGGCATAGGTAAAGATAAGCAATTTCGTACGATAGTCAATTCATGAGCCTTGCGTATATACAAATCGTAAAGTCAGAACGTCCGTCAGGAGAGATAGGCGTAACAGTTACTGCTTCGACGTCCGGCGCTCAAATGAGTGAGAAACAGGTAGCAGGGCAGGTCCATGGCTGGGTAGGAGGAGCTACTGGTCATGTGATCCAATGGGAGTCCTGGAAAGAGAGTGCAATTTCTTGCTCGACAGGCATTGGTGGGGGAAAATTTTAAAGTTTAAACTTGGTAGAGATCCTGAGTACATTTATTTGATATAATAAAAAAGAAAGTTATCAAGATACAATACAATAATGAGAAGTAAAGGGATCCTGGACTGAAATAAGTTGGCCTAATTTTAATGCGTTCTGAACTAAGTATTAAAATAGGATATATTGAAGGTGTTTGTGAAATGAATTAGTGATTCTTATTCTGAAAGACAGATGGCGACACATGAGCGTGTGCTTTTAAGAGCTGCTTATGTACGGTGAAGGTATGCAATCATAAAACAAATATGGAAATGCATAAAAGCAGTACTTAAAACAGTAGATAAAATTAAATTAAGTGCCGGAGAACTGCTCCGGGTCTTTTTTTGTTAGCTTCGCTGGTTATAATCATAATTTAGTCTTGGGATAGAACTGTTGTTGATCTTTTCGATGTTGTTGAAGAATTTCCGTGCTATTTTTGCTATGTGTATGCTAATGCTTTCAATATTTAATTCGTTCTGAATAGCCTCGTTCTTGAAGAACCACCTCAGCATAACATTTTGACTTTGCTCAATTTTCAGCATGTGAGTTTTGCACACATAACCCCAGACTGGGCAGGCATAGGTGATAATAGGTCGCAGCATGGATCTATATACATGAAGTTTATTTTGGATAGATAAAACGGAGTTTCGGGCAATTAGGGGGTTGAGTAAAGCTTTAGTACCCCGAAACTTGTTCAAAACAAATGTTATGTGTGGGGCCCAAGTGAGTTTTTGGTCTAAAATGACACCGAGGTATTTGGCTTGCTTGACCCAGGGAATGCTGATGTCGTACATTTTGAGGGTGATACTTAAGTCGAAAATCTTTTTCTTCGTGAAATAGACAGCTTCCGACTTTTCAACATTTATCTTGATTTTCCACTTAATCATCCAGGACTCTAATGCATGGATGTGTTCTTGTAGTGCCTGTACGACTGCGGCCATAGACGCAGCTTGGTAGAGGATCGCAGTGTCGTCTGCATAGAGTGCTAGTGTTGTGAGAGGGTTGTGAGGGATGTCGTTCGTATAAATAGAAAATAATGTGGGCGAAAGTAAACTTCCTTGCGGTAAGCCCGCAAGGGTTACTTTCCGTGTAGAGTGAGTGTTGTTATAACGAACGACAAAGTGTCTATCGTATAGATAGGAATTAATGATGTTAATGATGTAATCTGGGAAACCCAGAGTGATTAGCTTGTATGTGAGGCCCTGTAACCATACACAATCAAAGGCTTTCGAAATATCGAGAAAGAGTGCTCCAGTGATGTGTCTTTTTTGGAATCCTTCAGCAATCATTTCTGTGACTCTGTACAATTGATGAGTTGTAGAGTGTTTGCTCCGGAATCCGTATTGCTGTGGGATGAGAATTTGATTTTCTTCAAGGAATTCTTGGATTCTATTTAAAATGACCGCTTCAGCGATTTTGCTTAAGGTCGACAGTAAACTGATCGGCCTGTAGGAGGAAGCCAGCGTAGGGTCTTTTCCGGGTTTCAGGATCGGTGCTATGATTGCAGTTTTCCAATTGGTTGGAAAGTGATGTAGGCGGAGCATAGCGTTCAATAATTTGGAGAATTTACATAACATTTTTGCTCCCATTTCCTTGATCATCTTGTTACTGATCTTGTCAATACCAGGGCTTTTCCGGTTCTTTCTCTTCTCGATATATCTAATAACCTCTGATGGCATAATTAAGGTGGGTGTTGTGTGTGTTGTGTGTGTTTTTGTTTGGAATTTGTGTGATGAGTGTCGAAACCAAGTGTTCTGTATTATGGGGGTTAGAAATGTGTGTGAGTGCGAAATTGAGATGCATAGTGATCTGCAATAGACTCAGCTTTCTCAAAATCGGTGTATGCGATCCCGTGGGGGCCATTAATGGGCGGAATATTAGTGTTGCGTCTTTTAAATTTAGATACAGCACTCCACAGTGAGTTATCATCTGTGGATAATGCTTCTAAGTGTCTGGCCCAGTCAAGTTGTGCATGTTTTTTTCAGTAGAGTCCTGACTTGTTGGTTTAATTGATTAAGTAGAATTTTATCCGTAGGACATCTGAAACGCTGCCATTGCTTCCGTGTGCGGTTTCTGTTTCGGATCAGCTCCCGGATTGCACTGTTCTTGTATCTTCTATCAGCTCTCATTGCTTTGCTGTTTTTGA